CCCTCAATCCAGGGCCACGCCACTTGACAGCAAGCAACACAAGGGCCACAGGGAATTAACGCTTCCTAACAAACACGAGAAGGGAGGGGGAAGGCGATGATGGCTGACCGTCAGGGTGAAGAGTAAGGGGTAAACTGCTGTCTTCTAAATTATCAATTTTCAATTTTTTCATTTATTTATTGTTTCTGAGACAGAGTTTCGCTCTTGTTGCCCAGGGTGGAGTGCAGTGGTGAGATCTCCGCTCACCGCAACCTCTGCCCCCCAGGTTCAAGCGATTCTCCTGCCTCAGCCTTCGAGTAGCTGGGATTACAGGTGCACGCCACCACACCCGGCTAATTTTGTATTTTCAGTAGAGACAGGGTCTCACCATATGGGCCAGGCTGGTCTCGAACTCCTGACCTCCTGATCCGCCAGCCTCAGCCTCCAAAAGAGCTGGGATTACAGGCGTGAGCCACCACACTTGACCAATTATCAAATTTTTACAGTAGTGAAAAAAAAAAAAACATCCCTGCAGGCCCGATCGCACGTATTCTTGCCAAAAAGTGGACTGCCAGGGGCAGGACTGACGGCAGCAACTTGCGGCTCTCACACATTTTCAAAATGTTACATTAACTGCTTCAGAATTACCATCAAAATCTCCTCCAAATACACTGTAAATCACCTAAACAAACTTTGCGGCCAAGGGGATAAAGGCCCAACCCTGAGAAAGGGGCACTCACCAATGTAAATCTGGCGATCAAATCGGCCAGGCCGCATCAGGGCTGGGTCCAGGATGTCAGGGCGGTTGGTGCCAGCCAACACCACGATGTTGGTGGCAGAGTTGAACCCTGGACACGGGAGAAGCAGGTGAGCCCCAGTAGCAAGCCCGATGTGGGCATGGCAGGTAACCAGCCATCCCTCCACTAACTGGGAACCCCACAGCCTGGCTCAGGGGGTAGACAAGTCCAGGGCATGGGCCCTCCTTATCCTGACTTAATTCTGGTTCCTGCAGCCTCTGACACCACGTCGTGCTGGAGTGGATGAGGGCAGACCAGGGACTGCACAGAAAATGGGATGCCCAACAGAGGGGAAGGGAGGAGAAAGGCTGAGTGCCCCACATCCGTCCTGTCTCCAATCGGTCTCCTCCAGATATCAAAACAGTCATAATCTAATTAGAATTACTATTGGGTACTAAAGACAGAAAAATACTTAGGAAATGCTTTTGGCCCGCAGAGAACAGTGTTTAACACAGCAGGCCTGACTGCTGTCCTCAGAAAGGCCTGCTCGCAAGGTCAGTGTCTGGCGCTGTGAGTCTGGGGGCGTTCCCACCATTTCCAGAGATAAACAGCTCCCTGGGCCCAAACGCTTTGTGCGCCCCCAGCAAAAACCCCAGGAACCGAGTATCTTCTGAGCTTCCTGGTCAACATCCAGCAGGCGTGGTCACAGCCTGATGCTGGGGGAAGTGAGCGCGTCCCATGTGGCTCCACTGGGGGAGGGTTCAACACTGCACCCGGTCTCCTTGCGACCCAATGCAGCTTCTCCCCTGGCTGACTTTGCTGTGTCCTCCTTTAACGGTAGTAAATCACAGCCCTGAGTGCTACTATAGGCCGAGTCCTGTGACTTCTCCTAGCAAGTCACCACATCTGGGGTGGTCTTAGGGACCCCAACACGGCCCCGAAGCCAAAGTGAAAATCAAATCTGCCAAAGGTCTAAGTGAAAGTTTTTCCAAATCTGAAAAATGGCACAGAACCTGGACATGCCCAACGAGGCTTTAGCAGGACTGACAGGCGACGGTCAGTCACATCTTAGCTAGAATCACTCTGAGAAGAGACGGGCCTGGGGGGTCTGTGAGATTCTGGGTGATGCAGGGGCACCAAGACAAGGCTCAGAGCGGAAGGAGCATGAGTTGTGGACACACTACCCTGTGGGCACCGTCAGGAGCAGCCATGCTCGTCTACCTGGTCCCCCTCCCCAGAGAAGCAGGTGTCTCCACACTCCAGAGAACCCCTCTCCATCTGGCGGCAAGGGAATGAACTGCCCCCATCCTATCACGGGCACTGGAGGAGGCTTGTGAATCTAACACAGCTTTCTCCATCACGTTTGCCTGAGAGCAGCCTTCCTTAAAAACAGAATAATCAGGGATTCTCTTCTGGGGGTGACTGTACAGAAAAAGGCTGTGCAGACTGTCCCTAAGCAGCTGCAGGGGAACAGCTGCACACCACAGGCCGGCCGCAGCCTACACACACCGTCCATCTCCACGAGCATCTGGTTCAGGGTGTTCTCCTGCTCACTCTGGCCTCCAAAGTGCCCTTGGCCTCGCTTCCTGCCAATCGCATCAATCTCATCAATGAATAGGATACATGGAGCGTTTTTTCGGGCCATTGCAAACATGTCACGAACCTGAAACAGAAACCCACAGAGAACCTGTTTTGCTACTGGTAGGAAGACGGGAATGCCAACTATCCTCCACCCTCTCCTCAGAAACCTCTGACCCATTTCGCCCCGGTGCACCAGCACCTACCACACGTGCCCATGCCCAGGGCCAGGGCCCCACACCAAATTATTCAAGTTGACCAGTCCTGGTCAAGGCACGGTGCTGAGGCCACCTGCAGCAGGTTCCCGTCCACTTACCCTTGCTGGCCCAACGCCAACAAACATTTCCAGAAACTCGGACCCGTTCACAGTGATGAAGGGCACACTGGCCTCCCCTGCAGTTGCTTTGGCAAGAAGGGTCTTGCCGGTACCAGGAGGACCAGTGAGCATTGCTCCCTGAAACAGAATGGTGACATCGGGCTCTTAACAGGGGAGCAGACGGTACACAGGACAGAAAGCTGCTTACACTGGTGACTTCTGAGACTGACTAAGAAGAATCCCATCAGGGATGGCTAAGGAGCTGGAGGGCAGGAGGGGGCTAGACTTGCCCACAGCACACTGTGTCCTACCCATGTGCTCCAGGAAAGGCACCACCGTGGCCGCACACACAGCCAGCTCTTCATGATGGATTCTCACAGGGGATGCCACAGGCAGAGGTAATTTTGGGAAATCACTGTACCTCACACCCAATAACGGGAAAGCCAGATGGGCTCTGACCCCACGAACTCTTTCCTGACATCCACAGCACAGCACCAGGCCTGTGATGTAACACAGAGGCTGACAGAGCCCCCTCTCGCAGGAGCCCCTGCCTGCTGGGAAACGGGGACCAACACACCAGGTGAGGGGCCTTTCTTGGTACCTGATTGCCTCACCCACTCCCTCTCTCATACAGATTTTCCCCAACAAATACATATGAAAAAAACTATAATTTTTTCAGCAGCAATAGACATAAATTAAAAACAAAAACAGATGCAGTAGCTCACACCTGTAATCCCAGCACTTTGGGAGGCTAAGGCAGGCGGATCACCTGAAGTCAGGAGTTTGA